CCCCAAAACCCCAAAACCCCAAAACCCCAAAACCCCTCAAACTATTCAATAATTTGAAAAATATGGAACAAAAAGCATCTAAATCAGAACTCTACCTTAAGCAAAGAGAGGAGATTGTAAAGAAGGATCGTAAAGACTACTTCTGTGTGGATGTACCCTCACTCACAGAGGAAGAGAAGAAGGCGGATGAAAGTTTCTTGAAAATCAAGGAAGAATTACTTTCAGATGGCAAGATGCCCTTTTTGGATAATTATTACAAAAGTTTTCCTGTTATCTCTAGCAGTAAGCTGTTTAAATCTCTACATAAGATGCCAAAAGGAGCACATCTGCATCTTCATATGACTGCTGCTTCAAGAATTGATTTCTTAATGGAAATTGCTAAAGAAGATTGTGTTTATTACAATGAGAGTCTAAATCTATGTAAGGTTTTTGTAGAAAATGAGCCAGAAGAAGGCTATAAAAAGTGCTCTGAGATCAGAGAAAATTGGGATAAAGAAGGAACATTTGACGACTTCCTCCAAGACAAGATTCTGCTTAATGAAGAAGATGTCAGTTCCAAGCATAGCAATACCATTTGGTCGAAGTTCCAGCCTAAATTCGATGTTACTTTTGATTTATATAACTACGAAAAGTTCTTTGAAAGAATCTTATATCAAGTAATGATAGATCATATAGAGGAGAAGTGCTTTATTCTAGAATTCAGACACATCTTCGGTTGCATTTTCAATGACAAGCATGAAGTAATCAGCCTAGAGGATGAACTAGCTCTTTTTAATAGATGTATTGAGAAAGTAAAGGAGGTTGAACCCTCTTTTTCTCTAAAACTCATATCCTGTGGGCTCAAGATTGTCGGAGAAGGACACATAAACAGCCAACTTAAATCATGTATTGAAGGACTCAAGAAGACCAAGATTATTGCAGGGTTTGACCTTGTCTGTGAAGAAGAAATCACACCTCCTCTACTTACATTTCAAAACTTGATCAGACTTGCACAGGAAGATGAAGAAACTCCAGTTAATGTGTATCTTCATGCAGGAGAAACAAGCTCAAGATTCGGTGAGAACGTCTATGACGCAGTTATTCTTGGGACCAAGAGAATAGGACATGGATTTGCTATCCAGAACCACCCTCATCTAATAGAAATTGCTAAAGAGAATGAAATCTGTCTAGAAGTCTGTCCATTGAGTAATTTGATTCTTGGATATACCTACGATTTGAGATGGCATCCAGCAAGATCTTTAATGTACAGAGGAGTTCCTCTCACAATCTCAGCAGATGACCCAGGATTCTGGAAGTCCCACGGAACAACTCTAGACTACTGCTATATAGCTCTAGCATGGGAGCTGACTCTGAAAGAGCTCAAACAGTTTGCTATTAATGGTATAAAACATGCTGCCCTCAATGATACTGAAAGAGAGAAGGTAAGATTTATCAATTAAAACCTCCTATCTTCATTTTATCCCAGCTTTCTTAACAGTCTCATAGCAACGTGAGAAATTCGACGAGGAATGGACTAAGTGGATAGAGCACCTAAATTCACAAGAATAGGGTCTAAAGTCACCTAGAAGTATATTTTAATGCCTAAAAGATCCATGGCTCTCATTTATAACAACCCAATAATTTTTATTTTTAGGGGTTTTGGGGTTTTGGGGTTTTGGGGTTTTGGGG